TTTAGGGATACAGTACAGTTACATTCATTGTTGGGATCATGTACCTTTACATGGCAAGTCTTGATTCTCATTTTTTCCCCTTACCTCTGCCCTCCCTTCACCCCCTCCTCCCCTCCCCATCTACAAACACTTTATTTTCATCTTTTCATTCTCTCACATTTTTTTCTTTTCCCTTTTTGTTCTTCCCCTACGTATCACACCTTCCCTACACCTTTAGCTCCTTTCCTCCCATTTCTAAATGTCAGTAATCTTATTAGAATCTTATGCATTGTTGCAGAATGATACACTCTTAAATTATATGCATTATATGTGTCTCTTGACTCACCTGGCCTTGGCCCTGTGGGGAATAATCGAAAGTCTGTAGATGCAGTCAGTTTCTATCCCAAAGAAGGAGTGTTCAGTATGAGCGTGACACGGGTTTCCTGGGTATAAAGGGGGCAGCTAATGTATCTCTGTGCCCGAGTGTAATGAGAGTTTTGTACCCCCAGCAAATTGTCTCCACAGTGTGGAATTTAGTGGCTTTAAGCCACAAGGCCACCTTCACTGTCCTTTACCCCTAAGGTGAAACCTGCCAGTTAGTAGGTCCTGCCTATGCAGAGTTTGATCTATCTCCTTGTTAAAGCTAAGCAAAGGGCAATAACAAGTCACCAGATGTTAAGAAAATCTCTGTGATAAAATGTGAGAGATAAAAGCCAAAATACTTGAGACAATATGACCTGAGGGGGAAAAAAAAAGAATAGAAATTACCAGCAGCAGCTGTAGAATTCTAACATCAGTACGGTGATTTGGGACATGGTGGCACCCATCAAACTAAAACAAGATGCTCTGGAGAGAACACAAACAGGAAAACAGAAAAAAAAAAGCTGCTGGAAATAATTTTTGCAAAAAGTGATGAAATAATGCATTCAATAGAAGAGTTGGAAGACTAAGTCATAGGGCTGCCAAAAAGTAGGATAAAAGGGAAGCGTCAGAAAATAGGAGAATAAAGAGAAAAATAGAAGGTCAGTTGGCAGATCTAAAATTCAGATAAGATGATTTCCAAGAAGAAGGAACAGAAAAAGCTGAGGAGGAAGAAATTATATGAGAAATATCAGAAGAGGATTTTCCTGAGTCTTCTGACCGAAAGAGCCCTTTCGGCACTCACAAAGAAGGAATGAAATAAGGCCATTATCTGGGGTGGGGTGGGGTGGGGGACAGGAAACTACAGGTGGAGAAGGGCATGTGGGTCCTTCAGAGGAGAGAAGCAGGCCACCTGCCAAAGGACTGCCAGCCAGGCACCAGTCTTGTCCTCAGGCAAGGGCAGGACAAGGATGGTGCAGGAAGCGCTTCAAGTGGTTTTCAACCTAAAGTTCGGTATTAGTTTGAACTATGAGACACATGAGGGCAGACAAAGACATTTTCAGGCAGAAAGATTTAAAACATTCGTGTCTCATGACCTTTTGCTGACAAAGTAATTTTAAGATAGGGTCCAACAGAACAAGGGAATCCGCTAAGAAATGGAAAGACGTCAGGTGAGGAGGCTGTGACCCCAGCCCAGGGTGGGTCTGGGAACTCCCAGGGTGCACTGAGTAGCAGGTGGGCAGTCAGCCAGGCTTGGAGACCCTGGCCATGAAGACCTGTGGGACGAAGTGCTGTAAACAACACCCAAACTCATATTTACGCACACAACCTTTATGGATTTCCAACTTTAATAATCAACCCTTAGAACAGTGAAAAGGACTAAAGTTTGGTTACTAAAAGGAATTCAGATATTAAAAACTGCTATAGTAAAAAAAAAATACAAATGAGAGGTTAGAGGAGATAAGGGTGGGAAATAATTTCATCTTACCAAAAAGGGAGTATTTGTAACTGATGGACTGAAACAAAACCAGAAAGACCTCCATATGTCACAGAAAGTTGTAGGAAATTAAAATATGCATGTATTTGAGCTGTTAGATGGGGGAAGGGAAAGTGGGAAAGTTGGATAAATGAACGAAATCATTATCTAATTGTGGAAGGAAGTTTTTTTAAGATAAGGTCAAATAATTTCTAAATTTAGAAATGCTGGCGCAAGTGCACAACAGAGAGTTCTAGCGGGACCATCTGAGATTTGAGGGTCACTTCTTTAAGGGGTGAAAAAGGTCTATTTCTTTACTTGATAAACCTTCACGTAGTATTTAATTTTATAGCCATCTACGTGTATTGCTTTGATTGAATATATTAAAAGCAGCGCGTCAGTCAGCTTTGCAACAAAATACCTGGGGTAGCGAATTTAGAAAAGAAATGGTTTATTTAGCTCATAGATTTGGAGGCTCAGAGTCCAAGATGTGTGTTGCCATTTGTCTGGCATCTGGTGAGGGTGGTGGGTTGTGGCGTATCATCACAGGGACTCACGTAGGAGCAGATGGCACAGAGTAGACAGCAAGCAAGACAGATCCTGGCTCCACAGCCCTTGTAGAGTGCACGGCCCCCAGTGACCTGAGCCTCACCTCTTAGAGGTCCACAGGACCTGCCAGCATGAGTGGACTTGGGGGCCATGTAACATCTAAAACAGAGATAGTATGTAAATAAAAAAGGGGAGTGATTGTCCTGTGAGTGCTTAGCAAATGGTACCCATTACCAAATTAATGAGTGGGGTGGGGAATAATCACGAATTAGATTAAGGATATTCAGAGCATGGAATCTTGGCTTTGTTTCTGCCCTGACTGCCTCTTCCTGTAGAGACAGCCTTGGCCACACTCAGATTCTTGTCTGAACAAGGGGTACCAGGGTCTCCTACACAGCATTTCGGGAGGACTATATGCAGTAACTCCTAGGAAGCTGTTCTGACAGTGCCTGGTCCACTGTGGAGATGATAAGACATATTTTTATATTTCTTCAGTATTATCAATTTTAGAACAAATCTGGTTTCAAGGAACAAAGGACTCACACTTGCCCCCAATTTTATAGCAGGTATTGACAAGCCCTGTAACTTGGAACGAATAATTAAAAATTACACAGAGCATTGACTCCCTTTGAAAAAAGTCGTTCAAGGAGTGTCTACTCTATTTTTATAATCAATTGTCAAAGTTAATGAAAATTTTAAGAGTGAAAATGCTAGTGGTGATCCTGTGGGATCAATGTGAGACTGGTACCTTGTAAGACCTGCTAAGTAGGTGTTCAGGGCAGAACCACCTGTGGACTTGCTTCTGTAGTAGGAACAGGCACACGATCCATTACCAAGGACTTAGGGGCTGGATGCATTTGGAAATCCAGAATACTCTAGTTGTAGGAAGATAATATGGTGTATCTGCCTTTATATTGTGCCATCTCTCCAGTGAGATCTGAGAGAGTACCCAGGAATCAGTCAATATTCCAGTAGTGATCAATATTCTTGCATTGGAAAGATGAAGTCACAAGTATTAAGTAGGCTAAAAAAAGCAAGTCTATCATTAGACACATCCTGTTCCAGGTCAGATATTACTGTTAAAGTAAATTAAGTTAGGTCAGGTTTTGCCACCAAGTAAAATTTCCAGAAAAGTTTGTTTTCTGGACTTTTTTATTTTTAAATAGTTGAACATTGAAAACAATTTTTGTCTCCATATACTTCTGGTCAAACCCGTGCTTTGCTGCGTGGCTCTGAAATGAGAAGGCTGAATTTACTAGTAATCACGAAAGAGTAATACCCCCTCTCTGGGGCCGGTGTGTGAGGCTGCCGAGTCATACAAGCACCAGAAATATTTGAAGGAAGCAACTGTGAATTTTAAAAGATTACCGTTGGAATGAGCTATGTAGTTGTTTTCGCTGTTGTCCTCCAGGAGAAAGAGGCTGTGCGTTTCTCAGGGCAAGCTCCAGCAGAAGGATCGTTCGAGTTCTGTGACCACAGTCTGATGGAATCCGTCAAGCTGGGCGACGCCAAGGTGCACGAGTTCTTCCGGCTGCTCGCTCTCTGCCACACGGTGATGTCCGAGGAGGACCACTCAGGTGAGCAGTGAGCCTCGCTTGTCAGAACGAGGCCGATGTTAAATGGGAACGCGTTTGAACTAAAAGCAGACATTGCGTAAGGATTGACCGGTCGGTAACTTTCCTTGTTATTGGTTTGTATCCTGAATGTTTCTCAAAACGCGGAGCGTGCTTAAAGAAGAACAGGTAGCGTCCGTGGGAGAGTGAGGACCCAGATGCGTTAGTCAGAGGGATGAAATGTTTCTGATTTCATCACGTTTGACTGTGAGCTTCTTGGTACCCAGAACACATAGGGAAGGCAGTTGAGTCCCGTAGTGCGCGCTCGCCTAACAGATGGGAGCGCCCCTGGGGGTTTGCTGAGGACGCCTCCCAGCGACAGCGACTGAGTTACACGGATGTTGAGATGCCCCTGGCCCTCCTTAGGAGGCCCCTCACCTCTGCAGCGTGCGCGCTTGGAGCTCAGGCTGCACAGAGGAGAACAAACCCAGCACCACTAGTGGTGTAACGAGTCGGCTTCTTCCGTTGCTCCAGTCTATTCCATTTCATGAAGGGTTTTCTGCTTTCAAATATCAAGTTAAAATTCCTATCCAGGTAATTTCAAACCAAAAGTAAAATATAGAGAGACTTATACATTTGTGCGCACCTATACACACTTGTGTACACAGACACCTATCTCGTGCATACACATAACACTGCCGCTGTTTGTTTTTCCCCATTAGGACTAAATTTAAGGCACAGCGTCTTTCTCTGATGATGCTGGATAACCCATTCTTCAGATTTTAAGCACTTTGAGCATTCCTATACTTACATTTATGATTTTAACTAATCTTTATAATATTAACACCAGCAAGGAATTATTATATTTCCATTTGGGAATATGCCTTTCAGTAAGTTTCTTTTATCTCTGCTTTTGAGTTTATTTCATTTCAGAAACATTGTTTTGTTTTAATAGCAGTCTGTTTCCCATTGAATTTATGATATTCTTTAGACCTCTTTGAGAATATTAATTATTCTTAACTTGATGCATTCTTTTGTTTCTTCTATTGTGTCTCGAGTGTTCTGTGTCTGACTTTAATGTTGCTCTCACATACTTGACTGTTTATGGTTGCTTGTTCCTCTTTTCGTGTGAGAATCCCCTTTCGGTGAATGTGGGTTCCTCAGCAGCAGTCCATTTTCAAGGCTGTGTGAGAGGAGCAGGGTGTGAGCTTGTCCTCACCTATGGGGGTTCCCCCCCCAATTCATGGGATCCCAGCTTGCTTTTTCAGACTCTCACGTGTTATACGCACAACTTGGGCCTGGGAGAAATAATTGGTCAGTGAATTCTGTTTCCTTCCTTTTCTTTCTCTTACCCTTATGGAAATCTGGAGCAATGAGTTGTGATCAAAAAATATGGTAAATACTTACATTTTTAAAAAAAAATCACGGTAAAGAACACATTGCCACGAATCCCCTCAGAATCCTCCCTCTCACTTTGAACATGCGTATCGCATTGTCCCTGCCACTTTCTGAAGCAGCTCTGGAGTCCTCTTGTGTGTCTTTAGTTGTGCTGTCCTGGCTGCTTCCATGTCCTCCTGAACCGACTCAAAATGTTGACCTTTCACCGTCATTTTGACTTTGGGGAGGAGCCAGAAGTCGCACAGTGTCAGATCCTGCGAGTAAGATGGATGAGGATACACTGAAATGCTTCTTACCAGCCTGCCTTTGCGTCAGATGACACTAGCAGCAGAACTCATGTATGTTCTTATGAGCACACTCGAGAGAGAGACTCCGGAACTGGTTTAGAAAGTGGCAGGCACAATGGGATGAGTGCGTTCCAAGCAAGGGGAGATTTCTAGAGGGATTAGTGGTAACTAACGTGTCTTTTATTGTAACACATTTTCTGGAATTTAAACACTTGCCATATACATTGATCACTCCTTCTACCTCGAGATCTGCTCGGCTTTGGTTTCCAGCCTTAGGATGCAGATCTTGGAGCCCTCCTGGGATGGGTTGTGTGCTTCGGGTAGGAGGAACATCTTCCAGGGCTTATCAGAGGCAGTACTTCCTGCTGCAGCCTGTGTTCAGAGTGAGCTGGCAGGAGAAGAGCCCACGGGGTCCCGGCAGCACTGGACAGAGTCTTTACCTTTACTGCTGATGCCTCCCTTTCTGTTCTCACTGGGTGACTGAGTTTGGCCCATCTTTGGGGGTTGCTCATACCTCTCTGTTCATCTTCTTCTGCAAATATTTAGAACTGTGTTTTTCTCTAGTTATGTTTCTTCAGTGATCAAATCTACATTTTTATCTTCCAGATGTTTCTCACATTTGTAGTTTACTGATAAAACTTGTTTTTATTTTTTTGCACCGTCCTGGAAATTTCATATTGTGTTATAATGAAATGCACTGAAACACATGGATCTTATATGTATAGTTTGATGAGGTTTGGCAGTTACATATACTCGTGTAACTATCACTCCTGTCGAGATAGAACTCTTCCACCACTCCAGAAAGATTATTCATACCCTTTACCTCAGAATCCATAATCCCTGCCCAACCAGCCACTCCCCTGATTTCTATCACTCAGGATGAGATTTATCTATTGTTGTACTTGATATTAGTGGAGTTATACAGCATGCACGTTTTTGCATCTTGATTCTTTTATACTGTGTCATGCTTCTGTTATGCAACTGTGTTGTCTCAATTGATGGCTTGTTTTCATTGCTGGGTAATATTCCATTGCAGAAATATATCATAATTTTTTTCCCAATTCTCTGTGATGTACATTTGGGCTGTTTCTAGCTTGGGGCCTTTATGAGTAAAGCTATCACAAGTATGTTTATGTCCTTTAAAAATATTTGTTTTACTTGTCCAAGGGAATTTAAAATACTTAGGAATATAAATTACCAGATCACAGTGTAGCAATATGTCTACTCTTTTGAGAAACTGCCCATTTTCCAAAATGATGCATCACAGAACATTCCTACCACCAGGCAGGGAGTTCTGAGACTTCCACTTATTACCAGCACTTAGTGTTATTGCTCTTTTACATTTTAACCATTCTAGTGGACACAGACTAATGCCTCTCCTGCCATTTAAGAAGGAGAATTAAATATATAAATCTTTTCAGCTGTTTCTGCCTTGAGATATCAAGCTCTAAGTGAAGGATTACATCTTTAAGGGAAAATTATACTCTTTCCTTTTAAATCTTTCCATTATGGGAGAGGTAGCTCAAGGTTCAAATAAATCCACAGATGTTAAAGTGCATTGAAAAATAGAAACCTTTCTCTACAAAGGTTAGTAATGGAAAAGAACAAAACCCTGAACAAACATACATAAAATAAACTGATTGTATAATTGATAGTGAGGAGCACTGGCTTTAAATGTGTGGTGTTTGTTTCATGGGGAGTCATCTGGAGAAGCTGCTGTTCTGTCTTGTCTCCTGGATGAAGTTTCAAAAATAGGGAAGTGAGAATTCTGCACACCTTAGGAGCATCCCATTATATCAGTCCTTTAAAATGTGCTGATGTTTGTTTAAGGGCCTGCTAAGTGTTCAGTTTCCATAAATAGTTAATGTATGCTTCAAATGAATATACATTTGATAGTTGTTGGGTACTAGGTTCTAAATCTACCCATTATGTGTATGCAGTTTCACCAATGTTTGCTTGATATAAGATTTTGTTATTAGGTACTGTTTATATCATTGCCATTATCATTATGTGTCTGTTAATGGGGGTTGAACTCGGGGTCTCAGTGCTGTCCTGTATCTCAGTCCTTTTTGTTGTGTTTTGAGACAGAGTCTCACTAAGTTGGCAAGTTGCCTAGACCGGGCTCAAACTTACCATCTTCCTGCCTCAGCCTCCCAGAGTGCAGCAATTACAGGAGTGTACCACCATGCCTGACTGAATTAGAACTTTCATCAGTATATATTGTCCTCTATCTCTGATAATACTTTTTGCCTTAAAATTTATTTTATCTGACATTAATATACATATTTCCCTTGTTAGTATTTGCATTTTTATCTTTTTCACTCTTCCATTCCAGCCCCCTCCCCTCTTTTTTGTACCAGGGATCAAACTTGGGACCTTGTGATTTTAAGGCAGGCACGGTGCCACTGAGCTAAATCCTGGCTCCCATATCTTTTTAATGTCTTAGGCACATCTCTTGTAAATGGCATATTATTCAACATACTTTTAAAAAATCAAGGTAGACAACACTAAGTTCATTTATTGTTACTATGCTTTGATTTTAAATATTTAAAAATAATTGTTTTGTATATTTAGATTTCATTCTACCATCTTATTTTGTACATTTATCCTAAGTTTTGTCTTAGTCTTTTTTTTCTGTCCTCTTAAAGATGCAATCCATATTTACTTCTGCTAGTTTGAATATCACATTTGCTTTTATTTTTTCTTATGATGCTGAGAATTGAACTCAGAGCCTTTGCTCTGAGCTTCATCCCCAGCCTTTTAAAAAAATTTTAACTTTTGAAATGTGGTCTCCCTAAATTGCTGAATTCCCCATGCTGGACTCGAGCTTGTGACGCTCCTGCCTCAGTCTGCTAAATGTGCTGGAATCACAGGCCTGTGTCACCTCCATAGCCAGTTTTTAATCTATTTCTTTTCAGTGTTTAACCTAGAAATTTTATCTGACTTGACCTTATGAGAGAATAACCCTTCTTTTGGACAAAACACCTGTCCTCTGTTACTTAAGACTCTGTCTGACTTATCTAATACTCCCATGTCCTTGTCATGTATTTTAACTCTCTCTAAATCTAACTGATGCTCTTTGTATTGTCCATGTGTGTGTGATTAACCCATATATGCACATATCAGTTTCCGTGTTCTTCAGTGCTCTCCCCGTCTCTATCCTATTGACTCGATGCTGGGGTTTTAGAAATTCCTACTTGCTACTGGTCAGCTCTCAGAAACTTTCTTTGAAATGGCTTTGTCTTTACTCTTGGATGATATTCTACCTGTGTGGAGAAATTCAAGGCAACAATTTTCTCTTCGCAAAATGAAAATATTTCAGTTGCATAATGTAGTCAGCTGTCTAGATGTGGCTGGAAGGTAATGAGTCTTTTTCTTCCCAGCCACTTTAAAACTTGGTCTTCCCTCGTTTTTGTAGAATAGGTTTGCTCTTAACAATAAATACTGCCTTTTTCACCGAGATTCTTGAATCCGTAAAATGTCATCTTCTGCCACTTCTGTAGTGTTCTCAGCCATATATTTCTTCAAACAGTGCCCCCCATCCATTTCTTCTGCTGTGTGAGATCTTCAGTGTTAAACATTTTCACACTACTCTGTGTCTTTTAACCATTCTCTTATTTTCCATTACTTTGCTTCTCTGAGATATTTTTTGGAATTTTCCCTATTTTATCCAGTCCACCAATTCTTCCTAGAAGGTCTTCAGTTTTTTTCCTATTCTGCTTCATTTCATGCCCCTATTTAATTTATTGAAATCTATGAAACACATTGTACCTGCGGAGTGTGGCCCCTCCAGGATCTAAAGTGCACAAACATCTCACTCTGTTGTTTCTGCTGGCTCTTTCTCTGTCTTCTTTACTGTTGTTTTAATGACTTTCACCATGGGCTGATGCTCGTTCTTGGAACTATATCTGTAGAAATTCCTTGGGTCTGGTGGGTTCTCCCCAGAAGGCTTTACGCTGGCTTCTATCAGTGTTCCAAGGCAGAACACCTTCACATTTTCAACTTGACTTCTTTAAGCCTTCAGATATTGTGAGATCAGGATGTTAATATATGTAAGAGTCAGTATTTGGTCATAAGTTCTCAGTGTAGACTTCCCCTTCTTATGCTTATACACAGGGGTCTAGGAAGGCAATTTTTTTTTTTTTTTTTTTTTTTTTTTTCGGTTGGGTG